TGCCAGAGATCTTTCCAGCCGAGACCCCCCTGGCTCAGTACTGATCTAGCTGCCTTCAGCACAGGGCTCAATTCTACTCCAACCATCAGCGTGTTTAATGGGACCCCCCAGTGGCCCCCATGGCACTATCCCCTGCCCCCTCTGAGGTTCGCACACCATGTGCGCGGACTCGATACAAGCATGTGAAACGTGGGTGGCCCCAGTTGCTTAGAATCTGGATCTTCACCTTTGGAAAGGCAGATGGAGGGTCATTCTGGGAAGACAAATGGATCATGCCAAAAAAAATGCTCTTCCAAGGGCTGCCCTCCCCAATCATCTCTCTGCTGCACTGCCTTAACGGTGAAAGACACACACCTGTAGATGGAAAGTCTGAATCTCAGATTTCTTCACATCAAAGGTGAATTTCCCCAAGAAAACTTCAGTCTCATCATCAACCTGAAGGCCCTGGTGGGTGAAGAGTGAATGGAGGAACAGTGAGGCATGGGGAAGGAAAACAACTTTGTGGGGGTTCTTCTTCTATGTGTTTGGTAATTGTGAGTATTCTGATGATAGGATGTGTAGTGTGGAATGTGGGCTCTTAAAAAACTAGGTTTTTTAAGTCTGGCCAATAGTTAGTTGTGTTACCTGGGGAAAGTAATACTTCCTCTTCCAGAGTATTACTTTCCTTATATATAAAAGGGGAGATAATAGTATTTCATCAGTGATGAGATGGATTCAATGAAATAATGCATGTAAAGTGCTTGGCCTAGAGAAAAGGCTCAATAAGCCATAACTAACATTTGGATATAGTCATGATTATTTATAACCTATAGCAGACCTGAGAGGCAAGTGGCTTTGTCTGATACATAGATGAGCAAGCAAAGCCTCAAATACCTGCCCTAGTTATTATGATCCGCTTTGTGCTTTCTAAGCACCCCCCACCTCCTGGCCTCAGTACCACTCACAAAGACTGCGAAGTCTCTGGGGGCGCTGTTGGCTCCCCCGGTGTGTGCCACACTGGGCGGTGGATGCTGTAGGGTGATGTCACTCAGCTCCACACGACCTGGCAACCTGATGACCACCTGACCCTGGTCGCCCTCAAAAGCCCAGCAATTTCCAGGGAACACATCTGGCTGCAGGCCGGGTAGGGGTGGTGGAGGGAAGACAACTTCAGAACCCACAAAAGAGAGCAACTGCTGCCCTTTCCCATCCTCTACTCCTCCCAGAGGGTCACTTCCAGTCTGGATCCCTATCAAGCCAGATGCCGCCCAGTGCTCAGTCCCCAGCGCTGATAGGTGTCTTCATTTTAACCCCATCCTCGGCTTTCAGCACAGCCTCACCCGGGGCCAAGCCAGACCGGGCTTTTCAGCCTGCCATACCCTTCTGCACCGCCAGGTTCCGCCTCCACGGAACTCTAGGTCCCGCCCCTTGATCTCATCCTGAGATTCCGATTACAGGCCCACCTCCAGGATGACCGAGGGCGGCCGCGCGTAGTTCCAAAAGCTGAAGCGGTTCCAGAAGTAGGCAGTGTTCGTGTCCTCGTAGTCGCGGGATGTCTTCTCTAGGTCGATGGAGGCTCCTGTAGTAGGGAGGAGTAACCCTCAGGAGTTCCCAGGCCTTACCCCCAGCTGGGGAAAGATCTGTGTCAGGATCTCTCTTTGCATGTCTCTGAGTCTTACCCACAGAGCTCAGCGCATAGTCGGGTTTCCTCACGAAGTCCTCATTCAGCCTCTGAAACACTAGCTTCGCCACTCTCTGCAGTGTGAAAGGGTGGCGGAGAGGCGGGCTTGTGAGCTGGTTTACAGGTGGGCCTGTCTCCCCAAACTGAGTGCTCTGGGATGGATTCTGTGGGCCCCCAGGAGAGACCCGCAGTGGGGACTGAATCCCGGGCCCCAGCAAGGGGGATCTGCTGGCGGTTCCCTAGGTGCGCGGGGACTGCGAGCGGGGCGGGGTCACCCAGCCTCTGAGCATCCTCGCTGCGTGACTCACCTCGCTGTGGGCTGCGCGAACACTGGACACCTCCTTGTGGAGCTTATCCAGCTCGGCCTGGAGCTGCTGCAGCTGCTGTCCCTGAGAGCGCACGCGCTCGTGGTACTCGCTGGAGAGAGGAGGTTAGCACCTGCAGTTGGCTTCCTGATCCGGGACCTCTCCCGTTAATGCCCAGGACGAAACACCTTTGAGCCGCTCAATACCCACCCCAAGTGCCCTCTTTCACCTTAGAGTCAGCATCTCCTTAGGTTCCTATTGGAGAGAGGGAGGGACAAACAGTGCAATTCAGCTCTGCGCCCGCTTTCTCCCAAGCCAGCCTTTGGACAACCGACTCAAAACGCCTCCTTTTGGAGAACTGCTCCTCCCACACATACACTACTACCCTGAACTTCCCGGACCAGAGCCTCTCAGAAATTTGTTCAAGGCCCAGCCCTTCCTTAGAATTAGCCTCCAGCACCAGCACAAGGAGCCCCCCACAACCTCCACCCATCCAGAAAACGGTCTTCCCGACTTACATTCTCCAGAGGAGGGACCAGGTACAGGAGCCCCCACCAGAGTGCTGTAGAAAGGGGGGAGGGTGTCCGGGAAAGGAAGAGGAAGGAAAGGAGTTTACCTGGCGGAAGGAAACTGGACCGCAGACGCCTGAAGGGTGGGGAGGGCGATGGAAGACAGAGGGGCGACTAGAGGGCTCTGAAGGGGGCTCTGAAGGGGCCGAGTGGGCTGAGGAACGTGTGAGGGGTGTAAATCAGATGGGTTTGTCTCTAAACTTTCAGAGCTGGTGCCTCAAGGGATTCTCGGTCCCTTACCTGCCAGAAAGACGCTCAGCAGCGACACTGCGGTGATCAGGAAGCGTATGGAAAAGACCTCCCTAAGGAACCGGAGGGAGGTTGAGGCCCCAGGCCCTCCCAGGACCTCGTCACCCCCCAGAGTCCTAGACTCAGCTCCTGTGAACACGACTCATCCAAATCTGAATCGGCTCAAGCCTCGATCTTGCATGGCCCTACTTCCCACCCCCGTCAAAGAGCAGCCTCTGGGGCGCCCTTGTCCCTCCCTCTGACCTGTACACACTGAGCAGCGCGTCTCCTACCAGGGATAACACCACGCTCAGCACCTGGAAGAGGAGGCCTGGGAAGAGGAAAGCGTGTTCAGAGTGCGTGGTGTTACAGGTTCAGAAAGGGCTCAGGAAGGGCATCAGGGCAGAGCCTGGGTTCGGGAGGGACCCGGGAAGCGAAGAATACGCTAGGAGAATGCGTTGAGGGCGAGAAACGGCTGGATACTCAGACTTGAATCTCAAAGGGGCTGGGGACTCGGACTTGAGAATTGGAGTCCGAGGGCTGAGTGGGAGGATCAGAGGGGACTGGCGCTGGCCTGGACCGTACTCAGGAAGCTCTTGGACACTCGCGGCGGAGGCATCTCCTGCCTCAGATCCAGTGTGGAGAGAAGATCGAGCGGCTCCTCAGAGACTACAGGAGACTCAGTCGGTTCTGCGAGAGCCCAAAGGCTCCATTGGGGCCTTGAGCACCGCAGGCCCATTCTTTCCCCGAGAGCAGGCTCCCCAGCCCAGCCGTCAGAGAGCTGGGCAGCCTCTCAAACAGGCTTTGGACCCGCCGCACCGGAATCCCAGGCCTCTCCCTCCGCATCCCCCCAGGCTCATTCTAGAGTTGGTCCCACTCCCAAGCGGATGCTCCGCCCCCATCCTGAGGTCTGGGTGCGGCCCCCTTTCCCAGATAGCCACTCACGCCAACACCTCAGTGGTGCCCAATCACAGGGTTTTCCCCGCCCCTTCCCAGGGCCGTCCATCACACCAAGGCACCGCCCCTCAAGGGATTTCATTTAGCGTTCCCCTTGCTAAAAGGTGCCCAGACATAATCTTATCCCCTCTCCTCGCCAGGCTCCGCCCGTAGGCCCCTCCCCCTCCCTCGGCTCCCCCAGGTTCGACCCCGCCCGCACCCGAGGCCCCGCCCCTCACGGTTGCGGCGCCACAAGCGGTCTGCCCTTTGTGGCTCCGAGACGCCGGCTTCTGCCGAGACCTTCCTGCCCATGTGGGTCCTCCGGGCAGTCCTGGGCTCAGGGCAGGCTCACCGCAGCTGGAGCCCCCAGCCCTTCTGCCCTCGGGTTCCCTTGGCCCCGGCCCAGCTGAACGGTGCCCGCTGCTGTCCCCCGAAATGACGCTCTCTGAACTATTGCTGTTGTCGCTGTAGAAGTTGGGTTTGTGCGGGGACGCGGCCGAGCCTGGTCGAGGGCTCCGCCGCATCCTGACCTGGGCTGCCCCTCACGGACGCCAAAGTCGCCGCCGCAGCCGCCAAGGCCCTCAGCCGCTGCGTGCCGCGAGGACCCTACGGATTCTGCGTGAGCCAGCGGCCGCGCAGCCACACTCAGCCCTCTCACCTGTATCTGGGCCTAGCTGCTGTCGTCATAGAGAAGACCGAGGTCTCCGCCGCACGTCCTGACCGTATGTCATAGAGCTAGCCGTGATGTCGCTGGGAGCCATTGCAATCTCTTACTCTTTCTGATGTTTGACATCACATCTTTTTCCAGAACACGCAGAATGGCGCTCAGCGTAATTTCTATCTTCCTTCCCTGCTGTTTTTCTCATTTGACACTAACATGCTAAATGTTTTACTTATTTATTACATTATTGCCTGGCAGGCCCACTAGAAGGTAAACTTTTTGAGGGTGGGGATTTTTCCCCCCACTGCGTATCTTGCAGTAAGTACTTAGATAGCCTAGCCTGTAGTAGGTGCTCAAATATTTGCCAAGGAATAAACATTAAGAAGGATCAGAGCATCATCCAGGGCACTTCTAAATAAACATTTTGCTCTGCAAGCCTTCAACTCTCTCCTCGTTCTAGTTATCAATACAGAAGTCTCTGACCTCAGGATCTGTGGGTTCCTCCCCAACCAGGCCCATGTTCCCAGAGGTCTGTCGGGTGGGAATTGCGCACCCACCAATCACTATACCCACACTCAAACCCCACACTAAACTATGGATAAGAAAATGAGGGGGCTGAGGTTGTGGCTCAGCGGTAGGGCGCTCGCCTCGCACATGCAAGACCCCGGGTTCCATCCTCAGCACCACATAAAAATAAATAAGTGAAATAAAGGTATTGCGTCCAACTACAACTAAAAAAATAAATATTAAAAAAGAAAGAAAATGAGGAATCACAGATGGTCACTTCCAAGACACCAGAAGTTCCCAAACTCCTGCTATGCAACAGAGCACTAGAGCAGCTTATAGAAATTCAGGTTCCCAGGCATGCCTTGGGATTATACCACTGCATTTCTGGGGTGGGCACAGAAATATGCATTTTAACAACCACATATGTAATCCTGGTTAGGGTCCACGCTTTGAAAACATCCAGCACAAATTACACAAAAATATCCAGAAGGGGGAAGGACATCCCTGAGACCACAGAATATGTGACTGATTCCAATATCCTGCCCTCCAGCCTATTACATACCATTCCTTCCTTAGAATGTTAGGTAGTGAAAGTGGCAGTTCTTAGAGGGGTGGAGGCCCAGGGACAGCCTTTTAAGATGTGTTCTAGCCCAAGGGGAGGTGCTTGTGCCAGGCTCCAGAGAAGTGACATCAGTGAATTGCTTGATTAGATACCACAGAGCTCAGGACAGAAAAAGAGGAAGACCAAGGCACTGCAAACTAAAAATTCTGTCCAAATCTAGTCCCCTTTCTCCCCCACTTACTTGATATTTGTGAACTCTTTTGGTACCAATGTCCTTTGTTTATCAAAAGGGCAAGTGAAACCCCCAACATCTGAGGACCTTGAGGTCTAACCTGGTCCTTGCTTAGAAAGAGAATAGTCCATTCCCCTTGTCTTATATTGTATAGATTCCCAAACTCAGTTGAATTCCTAATAACTGGGGCAAAAAGCAGAACAGGGCTTTCCAACCCCTATTGAGATGGGAATGCTAAAGCACAAGAAGGAATCATAGGTAGCTTAAAGCCATACAGCAAGACCTAGTTCCTCTGATGGTCTACTCTTATCTACTGCTGCTGCCCTGAATTCCTTGTATTCAGGTCAAACTGAGCAAATCGTGTGCCCTACAAAGCATCCTGCATTCCTCTCAACTGCTTAGATGCCTATCTCTGCTCCCAACTCCTATACTCAAAGCTCCCTCCTCTGGGAAGCCCAACTGCCCTCCTTCTTCGGAGATCCCCACACCTGACCCTTTCCTATTGTGATGGAAACTGCCATATGATGGTATTTCTAGGCCATTTTATCAATGGAGCCCATGAAGCTCCTGGGAGACAGACAACACATCTGACTCACCTCTCTGTGGCTGAATCCCTTCTGTCCATCCTCCAGGATATAGAACAAGTCCTGCATGTAGGAGTATAGTAAATAGAGTAAGTGACTAGGCATGGTGGTGGGCCATTATAATCTCAGTGATTTAAGAGACTAAGGCAGAAGGATTGCAAGTTTGAGGTCAGCCTCCATCAATTTAGCAAGATCTTCAACAATCACCACAAAAAAGGGACTGATAATGTAACTTAGTGGTAAAGCACTCTTGGGTTCAATCCCCAATACATTCAACACACAGTTTTTGTCACCTATTTTGGGTTCAGACTGTGAGATATATTTATTCCTTCATTGAGCATAATTATTGAACACCTATTAAAAGTCATTAACCCAAGCTAGGAATTTTATGCCCAGAGAAAAGCATAAATACTTCATATTTTACAGTGGTAAGTTAAAATTTTTTACAATATGTATGGTGGCACATGCCTGTAGTCCCAGTGACTCAGGAGGCTTAGGCAGGAGGATTACAAGTTCAAGGCCAGCCTCAACAACTTAATGAAGCTCTCAGCAACTTAGTGAGACCCTGTATTAAATTTTTAAAAAATTACGGACTATTTTAAAGGTTTGCTGACTCCTTGGGGCCCATGTATGATACCACTGGAATCCTAGGACCCCAAGTTAAGGACCGTTTGCTTCTGGTTAAGAAGCATATGGAGCTGGGCACATTGTCGCATGCCTGTAATCCCAGCAGTTCAGGAGGCTGAGACAGGAGGATCATGAGTTCAAAGCCAGCCTCAGTGATGGAAAGGCACTAAGCAACTCAGTGAGGCCCTGTCTCTAAATAAAATACAAATTAGGGCTGGGGATGTGGCTCAGTGGCCACATGCCCCTGAATTCAATACCTAGTACCAAAAATAAAACAAAACAAAAAATATGAAACAACTACTATGCTCAAGCTAATAATGTATTCCGTAAAACTAGGGGATTCTATTATTATTCCATCCTTTTACCCAGGCAAAGTAAGTGACTAGGCATGGTGGTGGGCCATTAAGGGTCTACTGTGTATCATATTCTGAGTTAGGAAAAATAAATAAAATGAAAACTGATTCTGAGAACACAAAGATGAACAAGAAACAGCATGAGGTCTATGCCCTTGCAGCTTCATAGGCTAGCAAGGACTAGATTTGGGCCCTATCCTCTCCACTCCTATCCTGTCTCAGCTCTCATCCCATGAGGATGGGATGAAGTATGAAGCACTGACCAATTTGTAGCTGATGAAGGCAGGAAGGACTGAGCTGACCACAGGGACCTTACCCCCACCTCTCCATTATCCCTCCCTCTCCACCCATGACTCCCAGGCCTGCTGCCTGAGTGTTTGACTAAAGGGCAGGGATTGCTGAACCTGCTGGGTGAGTCCAGTGAGTCAGAAGTGATTGGGGTGGACAGTCAGGCAAAGGGTAAGCCAGTGGCACAGGGACCATGGCTCTGACTGTGTGTGTGAGGAGACTAACAGGGCTGCCAGGCACCCATGACCGACAAGTGAAGCTCAGCTTTCGGGGTGAGGCTTGCAAGGATACTGTAAGAATTCTTGGAACTGGACTTCTAACCCTCTATTTCCCAGACCTCTAACCCAATTCCTGGCCATCTCTACAGTTTGTCTCCTTTCTCCCCAGCCTACCACCTCTGACCTTCTGCTTTTTTCCCTCACCCAACCGCTATTTTCCTTTAAATGTGAGTCTAGTGGGGAATGGACACTGGACCAAGGGTGGAAGAGGCTAATGACTTTTTTATGTGGGTAAGGGCTAATAAATGACTAGTTTCAATCCTGAGCAGGTTTTACCCAGAAAACAAGGAAAATTCGCTGTGGTCAAGAAGCCGATGTCGGTGAGGTCAGTATGGATGGCTCCTGGATGGGTAAAAGCTGGGCTGATTCCTTTCCAGGTCCATCCTGGCCTCATTACGGGGATTGGGGAGATGTAGTCTTGGGAAGTGGGGTCAGAAACAGACTTAAGAAATCAGACCCCTGGGCTAGGGATGTGGCTCAAGCAGTAGTGTGCTCGCCTGGCATGCGTGGGGCTCTGGGTTCCATCCTTAGCACCACATAAAAGTAAAATGAAGATGCTTTGTCCACCGAAAACTTGAAAAAAAAAATCAGACCTACTTGGAATAAGTCAGTTCTAAGACTGGAGGGCATTATTTCTTGACTGATAGTTAGCTCTAGATTAGCCCTTGTTTGTAGTCAGTCCCTGGTTGGAAGGATCATTTCAGGTTTGGAAGACCAGTCCTAGGGTTAGCTCCAGGTTTAATAAATAAAATGAATACTGATTGCTGGGTTGGCTTCAATTTCAGGGTTGGGAATAGGGATGGATTAGGAATAAGGGCCAGCCCAGCAATGGGTGCTACAAGCTTCTTCCTATCCCCAGCTATTCCGCTGGCCCCATTATGGAGCTCCACTCACTGGGGAAAATCTGTCGGTGCAGGTAGTCAACTGCAGCCGTGTGTTCAGCTCCAGGTGAGTAGGCCTGGGGGAGCCAGGGATGCAGGAGAGGCTGGGATTGACTTACTGACATTTCCCTGGGATACTCTTCTATCCCGTGCTACTCCCCTAGGCCTCTGGGGACCCTGGTGATCTCCCTGCAACAGCTACAGAGTGCTGGGCGTTTGGTGCTACGGGAGGCCCTAGTGGATGAAAACCTGCGAGTGACCCCTGTGAGTCCCATCAGCACCAGTCTGCCACCTCCAAACTGGAGACCCCCTCTAGATAGAGGATTCCATTTAACCCAGGGAAACTCAAGACCCAGACACCGTGGTATCAACCCCTACCACTGCTAGGGCTCCTTTCATTGCAGTCCCTGTCTGAGTATGATGTGGGCCAGAACCAGGTTCAGCTCTGAGGCCCTAGGTTGTGGCAAAAGGGGGGATAAGTTTTCTGTTGCTCTTTGATCCTGGAGTAGACTCACTTCTTATAAGAATCAAAGTTGAACACCTGGCTGAATTTTCTCTTTTTTTCTTTTCTTTTCTTTTCCCTCCCTTCCTTCCTTCCTTCCTTCCTTCCTTCCTTCCTTCCTTCCTTCCTTCCTTCCTTTCATTTTGGTACCAGGAATTGAACCCAAAGGCGCTTAACTACTGAACCATATCCCAAGCATTTTCTATATTTTATTTAGTGACAGGGTCTCACTGATTTGCTTAGTGCCTTGGTCAGTTACTGAGGCTGGCTTTGAACTGGCAACCCTTCTGCCTTAGCCTTCTGAGCTGCTGAAATCACAGACATGCAATGAATTTTCCTGGTGTTTCACAGAATTTCATATTGCCTAGAAGTAGATCTGGCTTGAAATCTCCCATCTGACAGCTTCTCATTTGAAAACTTGGACAAGTTATTTAACATTTCTAAGCTGTTTTCTTCATTTACATTATGTGGATTTAAAGCAAGTATTGTTTTTCATTCACTCTATAGTCATTGATAAAGCTCTTAAAAGCCAAGTGTGGTGCTGAGTTATAAGGATTCAGTAGTCAGTAAAACCAGACATGGAATTACCCTGTTGGAGCTCTCTTGCCTAACATTAAACAAATATCCACACAAATAAGTGTGAAATTGCAACTGAATGCAGTTAGGGAGCTGGGAGAGTACATAACAAGGATATGAGATCTACTTTGAGGTCAGAAAAATTTCCTTGAGAAAGTAATGCTTAAGCTTGGAGCTCAACTATTATAGGTATGAAGCATGAAGGAAGAATATTCCAGGCAGAAGAACCCAAATATACTAAAGTCCAGTATCCTGGGGGAGCATAGCTAGAGAGCAGAGAAGAGCAGAACCCGCAATGAGAAGGAGCTGGAGTGGACGGCAAGGACCAGGCCATGCAGAACTGAGAAGATCACAGTAAGGGATTTGCAAAAGCAGTAGGAGATTTTGGAGCTGTATTTGACCTCCTCAATAAATAGCTTGCTCATTACATTCTTAGCAAAGTTGTGAATAATCAACATTATTAATAATTAGAAAGTATCCACAAGTCACCTTAGTTGCAGGCCAGGAGGGTCTGTGTTTACAGATGGAGAAAAAAGCATTGTCCTTGGGCCTCTCAGGCTTAGGACAGTTTGAGGAGTACTACACTGTATATGTTTTCAGATCCAGGTGGAGCTTGACCTGAAGTATCAGCCTCCAGAGGGCGCTGCTGGAGCCTGGGCAGAGGAGGACTTTGGGGCACTCATCAGGGATAGGTAAACTAAGCAAAGCCTGGTGATTCCAGCCCAGGTGGTCCCAGTCCAGGCAGGACCTGGAAAGGGAGAAGTTTTCACTCCGGATCCATAGAGTTATAGCCAGTTACTATGACTCTTGCCGCTCTGTCTTTGGGCCTGGCCCTCCCTCACTCCCCTCATTTTTCCTCCTCCCAGCTCAGAGTTGATCATCCCCAATGTGGGCTTCCAGGAGCTGGAGTAAGTATATGGGGGATGATCTGGGATCACTGGGGTTGGTCTTGGGGTTAGGAGCCAGTGACATGGGGTTAGTCCTGAAGGTATCAGGACTGAATCAATTCCAAGGTCAGAGATCTGTTCCAGAATCAAGAGTCAATTTGGGAATTAGAAAGCTCTCAGGGTTAGGAGTCTGCGCTGAGATCAGTGGGGTCAGTCTAAGGGTCAGTCCTAAAGTCAACAAAATCAAGGAATGCCCAGATATGGGTAACAAGTCCCAGGCATATCTCTTGAGGGCTTTCCTATTAGGCCTGGGGAGGCCCGGCTGGAGCGACGGGCAGTAGCTCTGGGCCGCAGGCTAGCTCGAAGCCTAGGTCCGCAAGATGATGATGAGAATGAGCTGGATCTGGAGCTGGAGCTGGACCTGGAGGATGAGCCTGATGTGGAGCTTTCTGGGGTCGTATTCAGCCCCCTCAAGAGGTAACTTGTACCCACATGCACCTGCTCCTATACCCTGCCAATGAGTCAGTCTCACCATTCACACATGTGGACCCACACCCATCCACCCTCACAAACACGGTCCCAGGGTATGGGTGAAGGGTAGATATCCTGTGGTCAAGGGTCACTCATAGGCATAGACACTGCCACTTCCAAGGTCAAGATTGGTTACACTGGCTCACACAATGATAAGTGATGAAAGGTAAAGAGCAAGTTTTAACTCTGGCTCACTGCAGTGTCCCAGTGCTTAGAATAGTGTTGGCATATAGTAGGTGCTCAATAAATTTTTGTTTGAACAAATAAATTGATTCAGGAGTTCAGGAATGGGTCAAATTCTAAGTGTAGGCTTGCTTGAGGCGTAGGTAAGGCAAGACAAGCCCCAAAGGACTCAGAATCCAAAAGTTTATAAGGAACAGGAGACCTCACCTCCAGTATCAAGTGAGTGTGTGTGTTGGCAGGGAATGGGGAAACTAGAGCTGACTTTAAGCTTCTTTACAGTCGAGCCCAGAGCCTGGCCCGTGGGGATCCTTTCCAAATGTCCAAAGCCCAGGACTTCCAGGTACTGCTCTCCTCCCAGGCCCCAAACCTGTGGAACCCCCATTCTGTGTGGTCGCACGTTCCTTCCCCTACGTTGGTAGGTCCAGCGTCTTCTCCTCCCTTTCTGCACCTCTTAGGTAGGGGTCACCGTGCTGGAGGCCCAGAAACTAGTGGGAGTAAACATTAACCCCTATGTGGCCGTACGAGTTGGGGAGCAGCGCCGTGTGACAGCCACACAGCGTGGGACCAATTGCCCCTTTTACAATGAGGTGGGCATGATCAAGGAAAGTGGCGAGCCTGAGAGTGGGCGGGACCAAGATAGGAATCACCTTTAGAGGACACTGTGGCCTAGGTGCGCTGGAGTCTAGAATATGGAGGGGCGGGGCTCATCAAGGGAAAAAGTGTGCAGAGGCTCAGTCCAGAGTGGAAGTACCGCGTTGTCTTCACCAGAGGCTGGGGCAAGCCGGCGTGAGCGCTTCACATCTAATGTTCTCTCACCTTCCTTACTTTCCCTCACTCCCACTTCAATCCAGTACTTCTTGTTCGAATTTCATGAGACCCAGCTTCGCCTTCAAGACTTGCTGCTGGAGATCACGGTGAGGATACAGAAGGGAGAGCTTTCCTTCAGGAAAGGGGAATGCTGAAACTTCGGGACTAACACCACTTCCCCCCAGGTTTTCCATTCGCAGTCCCTTCCCTTTATGGCCACCCGGATAGGCACCTTCAGGATGGACCTGGGCATCGTCTTCGACCAGCCAGGTACCGAACTTTAGGCTTATTGAGACTGATCTGCAGGGACAGGGACCTCTCAGCAGTGACTCCGCATGGACTCCAGTGCACTAACTTCTGAGAGAGCCATCTCTTGCGAAGACTGACACTCCAAACACTCTCACTCCTCCCTATTGAGCCACAGAGGAACCCCGGCCACTGTCCAACGCTCTGGTCGCAGCTCTATGATCGCCTGGTGCATCCCACCAGCGTCCCCTCACTCCTCGCCCGTCTTTCTGCCCTAGATGGCCACTTCTATCAAAAATGGGCTCCTCTGCATGACCCCCAGGACACCCGCGCCGGGACCAAGGGCTTCGTTAAGGTCACCTTGTCCGTGAGGGCACGCGGAGACCTGCCTCCTCCACTGCCACTCCTAGGTCCAGGGCACAGTTCGGACATCGACAAGTGAGCTGGGGTGATGAGGGGAGAAGAGAATCGGAACGAGTGCGGCCTCGGAGGCGTGGAGAGGCGAAGGGATAGATTCTGCTCCTCGGCCTCTCACCTCCCTGCTCCTCCAGGAACCTGCTCTTGCCGCGTGGGATACGAGCAGAGAGGCCGTGGGCGCGGCTCCGCGTGCGGGTGTACCGCGCCGAGGGCCTTCCAACACTGCGTCCAGGGCTACTGGGCAGCCTGGCACGCGCCCTGCACGACCAACGCGTCCTCGTGGACCCCTATGTACGGGTGTCCTTCTTGGGACAGCAGGTAAGTCTCTAGCGTGCCCACTCCGCCGAAACTCAGGCACTGATCCCGCGCTCAACCCTCTCAAGTCTTCACGTCGGTCTTCAGGGCGAGACGTCGGTGCGCAGCGAGGCGGCGGCGCCGGAGTGGAACGAGCAGCTGAACTTTGTGGAGCTGTTCCCACCGCTGACGCGCGGACTTCGCCTGCAGCTGCGGGACGACGCGCCCCTCCTCGATGCGGCCCTCGCCACGCACGTGCTGGACTTAAAGCAGATCTCGCACCCCGGCCGCGCGGGTGAGTGCAGCTGGCGCTGGGCCCTGTCAGCCCCAGATCCCGCTTCAACTAGCCTGGGTCCCTAAGAGCCGCAGTCGCTCCTTCCTCCCGACCCAGCTCAGCTGAGGGAGTCGGGTCCACCCGACGAAATGAACTGCGCCAGGCTGGCCCCGCCCTTCGCCCGCCCCCTCCCCACCCGACACAAACCCCACCCTCGATTTGACAAAAAGCTGACCACAGTCACGCATCCGGTAACCACGCCTGCCCTACGGATTTACGCTCGTTGATACACGGCTGCTGCCTAAGTAGCCACTCACCCAGTCCTTCACCCTATTACATGTAGCCCCACCCCGGTCCCGGCTCTGCCTCGGGGTATTTGGCTCTACCAATTAGTGGCCCCTAAAGGCCAAACTTCACCGATTCGCTTCGCCTTTGGGAGCCCAGCTGGTTTTGAGCTGCACCCAGCTGATGCTCCACAGCGGTCTGCAGCTGTTCTCTTCCAGAACTGCTGAACTCTTTCCTGCCCATATTCCCACCCCCGGACTTGGAGGAGATAAGGGTATGGAGTATAGACTATTCTAGTACCCACCCGCCCGTGCTCTCCTCCAAAACACTGTTCTTGTCCCCTACAGCCGGGTTTAACCCCACCTTTGGCCCAGCCTGGATACCCCTCTATGGCTCACCCCCTAGCAGGGGTGTCCGGGATGGTCTTCAAAGTCTCAATGAAGGTGTCGGCCAAGGCGTTTGGTTCCGCGGCCGACTTCTGGTGGCAGTGTCCATGGAAGTGTTTGAAGGGAGAGCTGAACCTGAACCTCCCCAGACCTTACAGGGGTCCAGGTTGTCCCGACTCACCGGAAAGAAGAAGAAGAAAGCCAGACAGGGTCAGATCCCAACCAGGGTTCCGCAGCAGGTGGACACCAGCTCCAGTGCAGAATCTCCTGAGATTCCCAGTGCTATGGAGGTGGAAGTGGAGGAGTTGCTGCCTCTGCCGGAGGTGGGGGCTGGAGTCACTCTCGGCTTTGGAGGTTTAATGCATTCCCAGACACTGAACACCATGGGGGAGTTTCAATTTGGGGGCTGGGTGGATTTGTACCATAATGGGTGTAGGGAGACTGACCAATCCCTTGGAGCCAAAGTGTTGAGGCTGCAAAGAGGGGTGTAGGACACCTGCAGTGACTTCTGGACCTTGGTTGTAATGGTTTTTTTGTGAACATTGTGGCCAAGCATAGTCCAGGCTGCTCCCTGGGAGGCCAGGGGCTGACTCCAGCCTGATTCCCTTCCCCAGAATGCCCTGGCGCCCTGTGAAGATTTCCTGCTTTTTGGCGTGCTCTTTGAAGCCACCATGATTGACCCCACTATGGCCTTGCAGCCCATCAGCTTCGAGATTTCCATTGGTGTGTGGCCTACCTGAACCCCTGAGGGTCATGTTTTGAGGGTGGTCATTCATTTCAGACTGTATGCTCCTGGAATGGGCTATTGACTTTCCGTAAGGGTGGATTTTGACTTCTCTTGAGGCAGAATTGATTGAGGGAGGGGTCTGACCCTTCACCCATTGCCTGCTGACTCTTGCTGCTCTGAGGCTAGGTCATGCAGGCCGCCGAGAGGAGCAATTGGGCCGAGGGTCCAGGGCTGGGGAGAGAACTGAGGGCAACCTGGGGGAGGCTCAGCCTCTCCTGGAGTCTGAAGATATGGGGACCGGTCTGGAAGAGGAGGAGGAGGTGGGAACTCCAGCTCTGAGGCCAGAGCCTGTGGACGGCAGTGGGTGAGTGCTCCAATGACTCTAAGGGGGGTGTTGGGAGGTCATCATGTACTCAGGACACCCCGGAGCCTCAGTTTCTTTCTGTCTGGCCCAGACCATACCTCTGCTTGCCCCTGCGTCACCATAAGCCCTGTGTGCATGTGTGGAGCCGCTGGGAGGATTACACATGGCGTCTGCAAAGCAGCAACTGTGTGCACAAAGTGGCTGAGAGGCTGGTGAGGGCAAGGCCAGCACTTAAAGAGAGATGCAGGGCTATGCAGATGCTGGGGACACTTTGGCCCTTGAGGGAGCAACCAAGGGAAGCTAATCGGTGGAGCAAAAGGGAGCCAGCACCTTATTGGTGCAAGGCCAGAGCGTAGTGGACAAAGAACACAGTTTCTGGGTAAACTGAAGGGAATTCAGGAGATCAAAGTTATAGGAGGACAGGGATTCAGAATAGTTGAACCCAAGAAGGGGCTGGGTGAAGGGGTGGAATAGAGTACTGGAGGCCAGGCCCCAGTGGTGTGGAACCACTAAGGTGCTAGAGGAATAGAACCATGAATCCATGGAGCCAAAGAAAGGCAGGTTAGGAGATATGGGGTGGAAGTGGGTGGGGCCTCCAGGTGGGAGTGGGGGTTACTGTACCTGGGACCCTCAAGACTTTGACCCTCTCACTGCACTACAGAGCCAAGGGCTGCAGGAAGTTGAGAAGATGCAGCGTAGATCAAGACTCAGTGCCTGCACACGGCTCAAGCAGACTCTGGAGGAACTGGTGGCTGGAAGCAGGTGAACTAAGAGAGAGCCCTTAGAGCTGTTGATCCTGGGCCTATTCCAGGGTGGGGGAGACTTCGTGACTTGAAGCTGCATTTTATAGGAGACAATTTTAAATATCAAGGAGTTTGATGGAAATTTGGGGAGTTGGGTTGTGCCCAGGTCCTTAGGTGCTTCTGCTACCACCTTCCATAAGGTCTTTTCCCCTGGCTCCTACTTTATGGAGGAAACAGAATCCTCACCTTCTTCCATTTAATCTACCACCTGACCAGTTGTGCATCTCTCTCCTTCCTGCTAAGTGAAGGAAGCATCCTAGCTGTGATCTTGATTTTATCTCCTCTCACCTCCTAGGGGAATTGGCTCTGCTGTTGCCACTTCCTCTCCTGCATCCTCAACTGGTCCTTACTTATATCATCTTTTTTGCAGTAACCACATAAAACATGTTCTGGTTCCTTCCATCTTTGACCTTCATTGACCCAAATTCCATAAACTCCATAACCATAATTCCAGGCACTTAAGAACGTTTCTGGCGCTATTCTCAAAAGAATTAATTGTGTAATTATTCAATAAATAATTATGGTATTTGCTGGGCGTGGTGGCACATGCCTGTAATCCCAGCAGCTTAGGAGTCTGAGACAGGAGGATTGAGAATTCAAAGCCAGCCTCAGCCAAAGCAAGGCACTAAGCAACTCAGTGAGACCCTGCCTCTAAATAAAATACAAAATAGGGCTGAGGATGTGGCTCAGTGGTCGAGTGCCCCTGAGATCAATCCCCAGTATCCCCTCAAAAAATATATATATAGTACTTGCCATGCCAGACACTGTTTAGGTACAGGGATATCAGTGAAAAGGCATTTCTGATCTTGAAAATCCCTGAAGCTTGTATTATTCCCCTGGGGTGAGGGTAGGGGGTATGAGCAGAAACACAGATAATAAACATGAAAACAAGAGATAAAAATATGCTAAGTAGGATAAGTGTTAAGGGAGGAAATGAAAGAAAAATAGTCTGAGAGATTTTATAAAGGGTGAAGAGGGCAGGGCACAGTGAAGGTGACGTGAAAAAAGATGAAGGAGCATGTCACATCTGTAAGGGAACAGGCATGTTACGTCCTTTCAGCCAACCAGGGGGGACTAAACCACAGGTGATCTCTGACTTAAATGGGCTCAGGAATGCCCCAGGGTGTAAACATGTACATCCTGATGCAGTAGTCTCTGGGGTGGGGCTGAGACTCTGCAGTTCTGACAAGTACGCAGGTGATACCAGTGCTGTTGGGCGACACCTGGAGTAGCTAGGGTACTTCTCAGTGGATAGTTAAATACTGGGGAGCTGTGAGGCTCAAAGGAAAGGCGACATGTCCTTGATGAATTTGGGTTGGTCCAAATGCATATAGACACCTTATGGAGAACAAGGCTAAGAGGGCTGTGAGGGAATGAGGGTTGGGAGGCCTGCTCTGAGGGAATTGGCCCCAAGAGCCCATGTTCTCTCCTGTGACTCCCCTGGTTTGCATGTCCCCTCTCCCTGCAGACAGTTTTGCCGCAGTACTGAGCGTAGGACGATGACCCGGCCCAATAACCTGGATCGATGCCGAGGGAAACTGCTGACGCACAGCCTGGTATGGGCAGGGGAAGGAAGGCAGGGGGACCTGGCTAGAACCCTCCACTCATGCTCTCTTTTTGCCCTTTCAGAACCTGTTGTCAAAGCAAGGTCTGCGGCTTTTACGTGGTCTGAGACAGGCCAACATGCAAAAGAAGGTGACATTGGCCAAGAAACTCCTTGCAAAACTGCGCTTTCTGGCTCAGGAGGTAATGCCTGCCTACCCTGTACACCCATCCTCCTAAGCCTTTTGACCATCCAGAGTTCTCTGGGCAGGTGTGATGTCACGTCATTCCTTTGGAATGACTGAGGGTGAGGAAGAAAGTTCTAGGGTTCAGCAGGGATTCAGGGAGCATTCAAGATCTCTTTGGTTGAAGATTTGAGAGTAAATTCCCTTGGGCATGACCTCCCTGGTCTGAAACTCTGAATTCAGTGTATGAAGGGAAAGGAAGAATATTTTCTCTGCTAAGCATCTGCATATGTTATCTTGTGTTATTCCTTGGGAAGAGTTTACCTCATTTGAAAGGAGCAGAAACAGGCTTAGAGAGGGAATCTTAACAGCTGGTTAAGTAGCAACCGGGATTCCAAACCAGTTAGATCCTGGTTTCAGACATCAAAGGATAAGTTGGGATTTAGCAAGTAAGAAAGAATGCATATATGTGCAAATGGCCAGAATTAAAACTGGGGGACATGTGGAAGATAGAGTGTTGGAAAGACGGAGACAGTATATAGAATTTATACTGAATTTTAGTGCAAAATTGCTTTATTGGTTTTGTTTGTTTATTTGTTTGTTTGGTGCTAGAATCAAACCCAGGGCTTCACTCATACTAAGCACATGCTTTACCACTGAGCTACAACCCTACTCTGCTTTTAAAAATTTGTAGTGAAAACCTGTATTTTGTGACATAAATAAGCATCCTGAAATAATATAGTTTAGTTTTGCTCTTTTTCAAGCTTATATTATTTTGCTGTTTTTTTTAATATTATGTATGTGAGATTTATCCAGATCATTGCATGTAGATGTGTAATTTGTCTCATTACTGTATAATATTGTATATAATATATTTTATACAATATTGTACATAATATTGTATAATTTTGTAATTTGTTTCATTGCTGTATAATATTTCCTTCTGGGAATATACTATGATTTATTCATACATTGTATTGTTGATGGATTTGCAAATCATTCCTAATTACTGGTCATTAGAAATAATGCTTCCAAGCTGTGCATTGGCACACAACTGTAATCCCAGCAACTCAGGAGGCTGAGGCAGAGGGGTTGCAAATTCAAGTCCAGTCTCAGCAACTTAATGAGACTCTGTCTAAAAATAAAAATTAAAAAAAGGACTGGGGCCTGAGTGCTGTGGCACACACCTATAATCTCAGTAGCTCTGGAGGCTGAGGCAGGAGGATTGCGAGGGCAAAGCCAGCCTCAGCAATTTAGCAAGGGGCTAAGCAACTAAGTGAGACCCTGTCTCTAAATAAAATACAAAGTTGGGCTGGGGATGTGGCTCAGTGGTTGAGTGCCCCTGAGTTCAATCCCTGGTACCCAAAATAAACAAATAAAAATAAAAAGGCCTGGTGCTGGGGTTGTGGCTCAATGGTAGAGCACTTGCCTAGCACGTGTGAAGCACTGGGTTTGATCCTCAGCACCACATAAAAATAAATAAACAATAAAAATAATAATAATTAAACAATAAAAAACGAATAATTTTTTTTAAAAAAAAATATTTATTTTTTTTTAGGTGTAGATGGACACAACACAATGCCTTTATTTTTATTTGGTGCTGAGCATGGAACCTGGGTCCTTCCCATGCTAGGCGAGCACTCTACCGCTGAGCCACAATCCCAGCCCCAGCAATGTTTTCCAAGACCATTTTGGCACATGTCCTGGTATGCAAGGGCTAGAGTTTCTGTAGAGCAGTGATTCTCAAGCTTTTTCTTTTTAGGACTCTTTGGTGCCTTTAATAACTATTGGGTTTCCCAAAGAGCATTTGTTTATGTAGACTTTGTTACCATTACATGAATTAAAAAGGAAAAACAAAGCCAGGTGTGCTGGTGCATACCTGTAATCCCAGTGGATCAGGAGGCTGGGGCTGGAGGATTGTAAATTCAGTGCCAGCCTCAGCAATTTAGCAAGGCTCTAAGCAACTCAGTGAGACCCTGTCTCTAAATAAAATTAAAAAAAAAAAAAAAGTATAAAAAGGAAAAGCTAAAAATCCTGAGAAATAAACAATAGTTATTATTTCATTAAATAACACGAGCAAATCAATTACATGTTAATATAGATAACATGTTTTCATAAAAAATAACAATAGCCAGGCATGATGGCACAAACCTAGAATCCCAGTGATTTAGGAGGCTGAAGTAGGAGGATTGGAAGTTCAAGGCCAACCTCAGTATTTTAGTGAGGCCTTAAGAAACTTAATAGGACCTTGTCTCAAAATAAAAATAGAGGGGCTGGGGATGTGGCTCAAGCGGTAGCGCACTCACCTGGCATGCGTGCGGCCCGGGTTCGATCCTCAGTACCACATACCAACAAAGATGTTGTGTCCGCTGAGAACTAAAAAATAAATATTAAAAATTCTCTCTCTCTCTCTCTCTCCCTCTCTCTCTCTCTCCTCTCTCACTCTCTCTTTAAAAAAAAAAACTAGAGCCGACACAATAGTGCACTTCTGTAATCCCAGCAGCTTGGGAGGCTGAGACAGGAGAATTAAGACTTCAAAGCCAGCCTCAGCAACAATGAGGCACTAAGCAACCACGGTGAGACCCTGTCTCTAAGTAAAATACAAATTAGGGCTGGGGATGTGGTTCAGTGGTATAGTGACCCTGAGTTCAATCCCTGGTATAACAACAACTACTACAACTACAAAAAAACACCACCACAACAAAAAGCAAACAAAAACCCAACAAAGCTATAATCTCCAAAACAAAAAACTTAGTGAGAAAAATGGTATTGCTTTACATTTTTAAAATAACTTTTTAATATCTGTTATATTAAAAAGGATTGATAATTTTGATTATTTTCAATTTTCAAGTGTTTGCTGAAATGACCCATCTTTTAGCTCTTGTGTACTTCCCCACTGTAACTTTTAGAATTTTTATCATACTTATTTTAATGTCCCTGTCTAATAATTCCAACATCTGGGTTATCTTATGTGTCTTATGTGTTATTTCTTCTCTTAATCAAGAGTCACATTTTTCACTTTTCCTGTCTTATGGTTTTTTTTTTGTTTGTTTGTTTTGTTTTTTTGGTGGGAGATGTTAATCCCAGGGACACTTTACTACTGAGTGACATCCCAAGTCCCTTTTAGTTTTTGAAACAGAGTCTTTGCTCAGTTGTCCAGGTTGGCCTTGGACTTAAGGTCCCCCTGCCTCAGCCTCCCGAATGACTGGGGTTACAGGCATGCACCATCATGTCCAACAGTCTTGTGACTTTTTAGTTATAATGTCTGTATTTTTGTATGAAAGAACAGTAAAGACTAAAATAAATTATATGTATTTCCAGAAAGTGTCATTCCCCTCCTCACATCAGGCATCTGGAGTGAATCCTGCGTCATGCTTTGTATTTGACCTGGGCTTTGCTGTGAACTTGTTTGGGTTCACTTCACCTCTGGCTTCGAATGATTTGAGGACAGGACTCTCCTTTCATCTGGGCCTAGAATTGAGAACTGGCAAGATCCCACAAATCTGTCTCTATTCTCACCCCAATTGCCAACATTCTGATTATGGGCCCTTGTCCCTGCTTTACAGGCCACCTGACAGGCTGAGGGTTGTAGACAAATTCTTGTTTTCTAATTCTGTTTCCTTCCCTCTGAACCTAAGGAGATACCTTTTAGACCTGTTTTCCCTTCCCTAGACTTTGAAAGGGACCCCACCCCGCAGCTCTGAAAGTCCAGAATGCTCCCCTGCTTCCAGTGGGCTCTCCAGCTTTGCCTTGGGGCAATGTGTTCTTTCAGATCTCCAGCTTCTCTCTCCACTACAAAAGCTGAAATCCTAGAGGACCACCGATGGATTCCTTTGAGCTCATCTGTCCTCTTATTTTCTTCTAAAGGTGGTTACTTTTCACTTGTAAAAAACCCTTAAGTGGGGGCTGAGATAGTGGCTTGGTGGCAGAGTGAGTTACTGAGTTCAAACCTTAGCACCACATAAAAACAAACAAATAAAATAAAGACATTTGTCCATTTACAACTACAAAAACAAAAACAAACCTAATGAGGATCTCTTATGCAGCTATTTACCTACCTCCCCTTAGCTCTAAGTGAAGATCCTTAGGAAGGAGTTGGTAAATAGATAAGTCTTGTTTTGTGGCTAGGTCCTTGGGATTCTCATGTGGCATGCAGCATTAAACATTTCTTAGAAGTTGTATAGTTTCTCCTTATTTATGACCAATTCCTTTTTATAACTGCAGCTCTGCCAGAGGTGGGAGCATCTGTAGATCTCTCTTCACCTATGAAGAATCCATCACTTTCTGGATTTATTTCATTAGGTTTCTTTGGATCCTCACCTCTGTGATGTTTTGTTGTTGTTGTTGTTGTTTTAAACAGACAGTTTTGCAATTTATTTGGGTTGTTTTCGTTGTTAGGATGATAGTGAGTCTTGTGTGCAACTTTCTCTGTCCAGACTGGTAGTGGACACCTCTGCTGATTTTTTTAAAAATTTAGCATTTTCCTTTCACACATGCAATAAAATGTACAAATCTTATCTAAACATTTGCTGAATTTTGGTGAATATATAGAACTCTGTAAAACAAATGCCTACCAAGAATCAAGGTATAGGGGGATTGGGGATATAACTCAGTTGGTAGAGGGCTTGCTTCACATGTACAAGACCATGGGTTCAATTCCCAGCACCACAAAAAAAAAAAAAAAAAAAAAAGAATCAAGGTATAGAATATTACTATCATCCTAAAATGTTTCTTTCTTCCAGTCTTTTCTCCCCACTGCCAGAGATAAACCACTGTGTTAATTTTTCATTATGTTTTTGACTATTCTAGGATTTTGTATCTAGAATGATGCAATGTGGATAGAGGGTTATATAAAGACATTGGAAACAGTGAATTAGCACACATTGAACTAGTGATTCCTGATCATTATGTCTAGGGGATAGATGTTGGGTTTCTACAAACCTCAAGTTTTTGTCATTGGACCATTACATAACCTTGTTTTATGTCTGTTTAAAGAAACCTGGTAGTGGACTCCTCCAC